TACTTCAAACAAGACAATGCTTGACTACATGGTCTAGTAATTTACTAGTAGTAAGTATGAGTATTTTTAGGAAAGGGCTGGGATTCACCTAATCTTTAAACAGTATTAATCCCCAAAACGAAAAACTATTATAGCCAAAAGAAAAGAAAAAAAAATCTCCTGCTGTAATGCTTAATAAGATGTATCTGGAATTTGGCTAAAGCCTAAAAAAAGAAAAGAAAATGCAGTCTCCACATCTATATGTAGCACTATCCCCTTAGAGGCTGCTGGATTTGAATGGGTCCCCCGATGCTCTGCACAAGTAGGCAACACGCATTTCCGACACTTTGCACACTTAAGTCAGTAAACAGTCCTTGCTCTTGGTTTTGTGATGTTATTAAGGGGTTAATCTTGGATAGGGTCTAGGGGTATATGGGATGCCCGGGGAACCGTACAACTTGAGGACAACTTAGCAACTATGTACAAAAAATGTGGATTAGCAACAGTTTCACTTTAAGGAGCACATTGTACCTCCTCACACCCTGGATGATTCCTTTTCACCCAGCTGTACTGAGGGTATTCCCTGGGCAAGGGGGCCCAGAAGCTGTCAATTGAACAGTCCTGGATTTGAAGCTAGTTGGGTCTTACATCTGACCACCCTCTGCCCTTATCTGACCCAGGGGGTATAAGAATACTCACACTGTCCTCTCCTGTTAGCTTAATGGGTTGGTGGCTGCCTTCAGGCCTTACACTGGGCTGACTCCTTCCCTGCTACACAGGCTGGCCTCCCCAGGAGACATTGATGCAGTGGAGATCCTCTTCTCCAGCTACCTGCCTGTAGGTAGGCTTCCCTCCCTGGAGCCCCCTCCCAGGTTCTTTACTCCAGCCTTCCAGGGGAGTGTTTGCTGTGAGGCAAGCAAGGCATTTGCCTAGGGTGGCAATTTTTAGGGGGGGCGGCACCATCCAGTGGAAGAAGGGACCTGGTGAGCAGCGGCGGAGAGAGCCTTGCAAGGCTGCCATCTGAGGGGTACCACCGAGGGACGGACTGACCATTCGGGCATTGCAATTAAAAAAATATTTTTAAAAACGGCGTGGGTTCCCCCCCCATCCATACCAAGTCCGGGTCTGGCTTGGTTTTTGAGGGGAACCCCCCGCCAAAATTTTTTGAAAATTGACGTAGGGGTCAACCCCCAAAATCCATACCAGACCCTTATCCGAGCATGCAGCCCCTCAGGTCAGGAAAGGAAATGAACGGGGGGGGGGGGATGGGGGACGGGGGCGAGTGCGGCCGCTACCCAAAAAAGGAAAAGAAAAAAGGTCTCCGCTCCTGACGCTGGCTCCCGGCCATCTGACTGCTCCGAGGCAACCAAGGCATGCTGGGTCAGTGATGTCACAAGGAGGTGGTGCCACGTGATGTCACTTGGTGGCCCCTCCTCTTACATATTTAAGAACTGTCAAGCCAGCGGACAGTCAGACAGCCGGGAGCCAGAGTCTGGAGCGGAGCCTTTTTTTTTTTTTTCTTCCTTTTTTCGGGTAGCGGTGGGCGTTGGATCTACTTCGGGGGACATTCTTTTATTTTTCTTCTTTTAATAAAGGACTTGTCAAAAACTGTCTCCTGTCTTTTTTCACACTACACTTTTTTCCCCTGACCACAGACCCCCCACAACCACAGGCCAGGGTTGTGTGGAAGAGGCCCTTGTCCCCATCAACATGGGGATAAGGTGCTTTGGAGGGAAACCCCCCAAAACACCCCCCAAATGTTGAGTGCATGTGGCCTGGTATGGTTTTTGGGGGGGCGCTTGCTTGTCCCCTCCCTTTCCTGACCTGATGGGGTTGCATGCTCAGATAAGGGTCTGGTATGGATCTTGGGAGGGACCCCACACCTTTTTTTCTTAATTTGGGCTTGGGGTTCCCCTCAAAACCCATACCAGACCCGAAGGGCTTGGTATGAATGAAGGAGGGACCCCACGACATTTTTTAAAATGATTATTAATGCCCTTTCTATGCAGCTGAGCTGCAATATGCAGGTGGGGTGTTGTGTGGGTGTGGCTTTGGCTTTCGTGCAGGTAGAGACACGGGGCCCAATTATCTCTTATTGCCCAGGGGTCCCATGAGTTGTCAGTCTGCCCCTGCAGCCTACACACACAGTATGATTACCACCCCCTGCCCACATTTACTGCTGCCTGGAGATCAGCAGCCCTTGGAGAAAGTGTGTGTGGGGGGGTGCAATCATACTGTGTGTGTATACAGTCCCTGGCTCTTTTCTCTGCACGTTTTCTAGGAAGTGTAATATGGATTGTGGGAAGGTTTGGATGGTGTTTGATAGGAGGAATGGGGGAAATATGTGCTAGGGGAGAGAGGGAAGGGAGAGAGAGAGAGAAGGACAAGAGTGAAGACAGAGAGAGAAGAGAGAGGGAAGAGAAAGAGGGGGAGAGGAAAGAGGGGGGGAGAGAGAGGGAAGAGGGGGGAGAGAGAGGGAAGAGGGGGGAGAGAGAGGGAAGAGAGAGAGAGGGACAAGAGCGAAGAGGGAGAGAGGGAAGAGGGAGAGAGAGAGAAAAGGGGGGAGAGAGGGAAAGGGGGGGGAAGAGAGAGAGGGAGGGAAGAGAGAGGAAGAGGGGGAGAGAGAAAGAGAGAGGGAGAAGAGAGGGAACAGAGAGAGAGAGGGAGGAGAGAGAGAAGACAGAGAGAGGGACAAGAGAGAAGAGAAAGAGGGAAGAGAGAAGAGAGAGAGAAAAGAGAGAGGGAAGAGAGAGACAGAAATTGAGAGAGAGAGAGAGAATCATATATACTCACATACACACACATACACCCATTGAACTCTCTTGCTCTCTCATTGGGGGGGGGGGGGTGGAAAATGTTTGTGTTGCCTAGGGCAGTACAAAACCTAAAAACACCACTGCATCCTTTCTCAATCCATCTTCCACCCGACTCTGCTCACTATACCCCTGGCTCTCTGATATTTGAGGGTGGCCTTGGTCACCATGCCCAGACTCCTGCCTGGCTCCTTCAAACATGCAGATCTAGGCCTCCTTCCCTCCTCTCCCCAGGTAGCTTTCAGGTTTCTGAAATGGTGGGAGGGCTCCAGGAGTCCTGACCTGTTAGAGCCTGTCCTGAGGTGACCTCAAAACCACACTCCCAGGCATACTCATTTAAAAGAAAGAAAAACAAACAAACATCCTATCTAGTAACCTGGAGGGCGTTCCATCTAGATTGGTTAGCAGTATGGCATTACATGTTTATTTTGGGTTTAATACCACTTTAATTACCAGGTGTAAAGAACCAGCAAAAACAAAAAGGGATGCAGCTGTCAGGAATGGACTGGCCAGCAATGGTGGCAAAAATTCATCCCTGCATTCGGGGGAACCAGATGAAACCAACTCAACACAAACCTTAATCAATGGCTGCACCATAGAGAAATCTGTGCCCTGATCTACTAGAACATGAGCGAGCTGTATACATTCTAGCAGTTCATCCCGGGTATACTCCTTCAGAGATTGATAAGCATATTCTCTGTCATCAAACACTAGCAGAGATAAATCCTCACAACCTCATCCAGATCCATCCTTCCCAGCAACAAGCCAAGATGGCTTCCCTGTGCAGCCACTTCTGGTCAGGATTGGCCTTGGGTGTAATGTCAGGGCTCCCAAGTGTGACCAGAGGTGTGTGGCTGACGCAGGGAAACGCAGACTTCAGATTTGTGATAAACAATATAATTTATTAACACTAACAATACAAACATAAACGCAGTGCAATACTAAAGTTTTCCAAACATAATACAGTGCAAACAAACCAAACCAACCACCCACAGATAACAGTACATACAAGCAAGCGTCATCAGGCAGGCCGGGTCAATATCAATAGGGCAGGTAGGTACAGGGGGAGCAAGCGGAGATGGGTCGGGGTCACAGGCCAGGTTCAGCAGGTAGCTAGCAGCGTAGTACAGAGGGTCAGGCAGAGGGATGGTCAGGGTCACAAGCCAGGGATCAGAACAGGTAGCAAGCAGCGTGGTACAGAGGGTCAGGCAGAGGGATGGTCAGGAGCGAGCCGGGATCAGAGCAGGAGAAGTCAGCAGCGGTTCAGATCAGGCAGGGTCAGCAAAGGAACAGAAACAGGATGCAGGACAGATCCAGGACAAACACAACACCAAGGCAGAGTCTGCAAGTCTGGCCATCCCTTAAATACACCAGTATCATCAGTTCCAGGTGTTAGCTGGCTGAAAGGTTGAGTCTCTGATTACTGGGAGCACCCGCTGGCCAGCCTGGTACTGCAGATCAAAAAGCAGGTGAGTCCCACCATTGCTGGCCAGTCCATTCCTGACAGTAGGCTGAACCACGGAAGGCAGGTTCACCGGTTTGGATACTGGCAGGATGGTATTGGTTGGAAAGAATTTTCGCTTTTTTCTGGTTTTAACTACTGGAGCACTGCAAGTAAACGCAGGTCTGCAAACGAATGAGCAGCTGGAGACAGAGAAGAACTGGAGGATGGAACAGGAGAGGGGAGCAGTTGCTACAGAGGGCTTTTTTACAGGGTTAAAGGCAGGATAGGTGCAGCGAGTGGGAACAGGGGTACTGACATGCGGTAGATAGCCAAGTATACTGGGCTGTAACTGGGGGAGTTGTTGGGAATACAGGAGTAGAGCTTTGAGGAAATAGATTAGAAGCAGGACTGGGTCTTTGTACGCAGCCTGATGCCTGTACGCAGCCTGATGCCTCTCTTCGGCCTGAAGCCTCTACTCGGCCTGAAGCCTCTACTCGGCCTGATGCCTCTACTCGGCCTGAAAGCCTCTACTCGGCCTGATGCCTCTACTCGGCCTGAAGCCTCTAACTCGGCCTGATGCCTCTACTCGGCCTGATGCCTCTACTCGGCCTGGAGCCTCTACTCGGCCTGGAGCCTCTACTCAGCCTGAAGCCTCTACTCAGCCTGAAGCCTCTACTCAGCCGGACGCCGGCATTCAGCCTGATGCCTCTAACCAGCATGATGAACTGATCCAGCCTGACGATCCTATTAGGCCAGTTGACTCGATGCCCGCTGTTGATCCAGATGATCCGGTACCTGATCCGGTGCCCGCTATCGTGCCAATTGACTCAGAGCCCGCTGTCATACCTGGTGACCCGTATGCCCGCTGTCGAGCCAGACGATCCAATGCCTGGTGACCCGGTGCCCGCTGTCAAGCCAGACAATCCGGTACCTGATGACCCGGTGCCCACTGTCGTGCCTGTTGACTCGGAGCCACTGCCTCGCCAGATGACGCGGTGCCCGCTGTCGAGCCAAATGACCTGATGCCTGGTGACCCGATGCCCGCTGTCCAGTCAGACGATCCAATGTCTGACCCAGTGCCCGCAGTCATACCAGTTGACTCGGTGCCCACTGCCTTGCCAGATGACGCGGTGCCCGCTGTCAAGCCAAATTACCTGATGCCTGGTGACCCAGTGCCCGCTATCATACCTGGTGACCCGATGCCCGCTGTCGAGCCAGACAATCCGGTACCTGATGACCCGGTGCCCACTGTCGTGCCTGTTGACTCGGAGCCCACTGCCTTGCCAGATGACGCGGTGCCGCTGTCGAGCCAAATGACCTGATACCTGGTGACCCGATGCCCGCTGTCCAGCCAGACGATCCAGTGTCTGACCCAGTGCCAGCGGTCATGTCAGTTGACTCGGAGCCACTGTCGTGCCTGGTGACTCGGTGCCCGCCGCTTCGCCTGGGGGCCCGAGACCTGTCGCTCCGCCTGGGGGTCCGGCGCCCGCCGCTCCGCCTGGGGGTCCGGCGCCCGCCGCCCCGCCTGGGGGCCTGAGACCTGTCGCTCCGCCTGAGGGCCCGAGACCTGTCGCTCCACCTGGGGGTCCGGCGCCCGCCGCTCCGCCTGAGGGCCGAGACCTGTCGCTCCGCCTGGGGGTCCGGCGCCCGCCGCTCCGCCTGAGGGCCCGAGACCTGTCGCTCCGCCTGGGGGTCCGGCGCCCGCCGCTCCGCCTGAGGGCCCGAGACCTGTCGCTCCGCCTGGGGGTCCGGCGCCCGCCGCTCCGCCTGAGGGCCCGAGACCTGTCTCTCTCCTGGGGGTCCGGCGCCCGCCGCTCCGCCTGAGGGCCCGAGACCTGTCGCTCCACCTGGGGGCCCGGCGCCCGCCGCCCCCCCCTGGGGGCCCGATGCCCGTCGCCCCGCCTGGGGGCCCGATGCCTGTCGCCCCGCCTGGGGGCCCGATGCCTGTCGCCCCGCCTGGGGGCCCGCCGCTCCGCCTGGGGGCCGGCGCCCGCCGCTCTGCCTGGGGGCCCGGCGCCCGCCGCCCCGCCTGGGGGCCTGATGCCCATCGCCCCGCCTGGGGGCCCGATGCCTGTCGCCCCGCCTGGGGGCCCGATGCCTGTCGCCCCGCCTGGGGGCCCAGGGCCCGCCGCTCCGCCTGGGGGCCCGGCGCCCGCCGCCCCGCCTGGGGGCCCGATGCCTGTCGCCCCGCCTGGGGGCCCGGCGCCCGCCGCCCCGCCTGGGGCCCGATGCCCGTCGCCCCGCCTGGGGGCCCGATGCCTGTCGCCCCGCCTGGGGGCCCGATGCCTGTCGCCCCGCCTGGGGGCCCGATGCCTGTCGCCCCGCCTGGGGGCCCGGCGCCCGCGCTCGCCGCCCCGCCTGGGGGCCCGATGCCCGTCGCCCCGCCTGGGGGCCCGATGCCCGTCGCCCCGCCTAGGGGCCCGATGCCTGTCGACCCCGCCTGGGGGCCCGGCGCCCGCCGCCCCGCCTGGGGGCCCGATGCCTGTCGCCCCGCCCGGGGGCCCGGTGCCGGTCGCCCTGCCCGGGGCCCGGTGCCTGTCGCCCCGCCCGGGGGCCCGGTGCCTGTCCCCCGCCCGGGGGCCCGCTGCCTGCTGCTCCGCCCGGGGGCCGGTGCCTGCTGCTCCGCCCAGGGGCCCGGTGCCTGCTGCTCCGCCCGGGGGCCCGGTGCCTGCTGCTCCGCCCGGGGGGCCCGGTGCCCGCTGCTCCCGCCCGGGGACCCGGGCCCGCTGCTTCGCCTGGTAATCCGATGTGCCTCTGCCCGGAGTCCTGCCCGATGTGCCTCTGCCCGGAGTCCTGCCCGATGTGCCTCTGCCCGGAGTCCTGCCCGATGTGCCTCTGCCCGGAGTTTAGCCCGATGTGCCTCTGCCCGGTGTGCCTCTGCCCGGTGTGCCTCTGCCCGATGTGCCTCTGCCCGGAGTCCAGCCCGATGTGCCTCTGCCCGGAGTCCAGCCCGATGTTGCCTCTGCCCGGAGTCCAGCCCGGAGTGCCTCTGCCCGGAGTCCAGCCGGTGTGCCGCTGCCCGGAGTCCTGCCCGGTGTGCCAGTCTTTGATATCCCGCCAGTTACCAGACCCGGGCGGTGGAACATTTTTGCCCAGCTAGGACTGTTTGGAGCGTCCTGAGGCCGCTCCTTGAGGGGGGGGGTACTGTCAGGAGTGGACTGGCCAGCAATGGTGGGACTCACCTGCCTTTTGATCTGCAGTACCAGGGGAACTGGCCAGCGGGTGCTCCCAGCAATCAGAGACTCAACCTTTCAGCCAGCTAACACCTGGAACTGATGATAATGGTGTATTTAAGGGATGGCCAGACTTGCAGACTCTGCCTTGGTGTTGTGTTTGTCCTGGGCCCTGTATCTGTCCTGCATCCTGTTTCTGTTCCTTTGCTGACCCTGCCTGATCTGAACCGCTGCTGACTTCTCCTGCTCTGATCCCGGCTCGCTCCTGACCATCCCTCTGCCTGACCCTCTGTACCACGCTGCTTGCTACCTGTTCTGATCCCTGGCTTGTGACCCTGACCATCCCTCTGCCTGACCCTCTGTACTACGCTGCTAGCTACCTGCTGAACCTGGGCCTGTGACCCCGACCCATCTCCGCTTGCTCCCCCTGTACCTACCTGCCCTATTGATATTGACCCGGTCTGCCTGACGACGCTTGCTTGTATGTACTGTTATCTGTGGGTGGTTGGTTTGGTTTGTTTGCACTGTATTATGTTTTAGTATTGCACTGCGGTTTATGTTTGTATTGTTAGTGTTAATAAATTATATTGTTTATCACATATCTGAAGTCTGCGTTTCCCTGCGTCAGCCACACACCTCTGGTCACACTTGGGAGCCCTGACAGCAGCTACCACATAAACAGCCTCTGGTAAGGTGATATATTACATTTTTGTTCTTTTAGTTTAGTTATTTTATAATAATGTATTGTGTCATCACTGTTGTAGCTTTGTTTTTGAGAAAATGTTTTAATGAGTAAGTTTGTAATATTTAGAGATTTTATTACCTAAAACACCTAACTTACTGTTATTTCACATTTTATATTCTTATTATTATAGCCAAATTTACCACGCTAACTCCTCCCACAGTTTTTACACTACATAGACAGTAATATAACCAAAACGTGCAGATTGTTCCCAATTGGTGTGCTATTACTTTGTGGAACGTTTCCCGAATGGTTTACAAAATATCGGTGTTTTGTGTGGTGAAATTGGTCCCATAGGAATGAATGGCGGAATGTTCAAAACTAGAGTGTGAGCTGAAAAATCAGGACCTGATTTCTAAACTGCCATCACTCCCTCATTCTCAACCCCACCTACACAAATCTTATATCAAAGCGTTCAGCTATCCCTGCTGCCACTAAAAATGTCCATGGCTAATCCATAGTCCTGATAGTTTTCACAATATGACCATTTGTTTGCAACTCACGCCGCCCATTGACCTTTTCACAGTTACCCCAGCCACTCCAACCACACAACAGTTACTCAAGCCACTCCACCCAGTTACTCCGCCCACTCCAGTTGTAGACTACTGGGGGAGGCAAGAACACTTCACACAATATCCCCAGAAATTGTAGCTTTTCTAGTTTGAATTATTATTACACACAGTATTTACATGCAGATCTGGGCCTCTTCCCTCCTCTCCCCTGCTCCAGGTAGCTCTCAGGTTTCTGAAATGGTGGGAGGGCTCCAGAAGTCCTGACCTGTTAAAGCCTGTCCTGAGGTGATGAATTGAGGATGCAGTAAAGATGGCCCTTTTATTGAAGAGGAACTGTTGCAATTTTTATGACATAAGCTTTTTATACCAGGGCAAAGTTCAAAAACATTTCCTCATGTTTTATCCCTTTGAACATCATGCGTGTACTGAAAAATACCTGTTCATTTGCCAAAAAAGCACTCGACTCTTCAAGGGTAAGTTCACCTGTTCATGAAAAATGTCCTGACTACTCCTGTACACAAGTGGGTAACCATCATAATCCTCGCAATGGCAGGCACTCTTTGGTCAGCTTGGTCACATGACTGCACTCATTGATGAGCAGCTGCCATTGCAAGCATTATGATGGATACTCATTCGGGGGTTGTGAATTGCGGTGTACAGTCCCCTGCAGCAGTGGCACAGGCAGGGGCGGACTGACCATTTAGGCACTTGGGCACTGCCCGAGGGCCCGGGGTCAATAGGGGACCCCATGAGATGCCCCTGGTACCTTTCATAGGCTTTTTGGGTGTGGTTTGAGTGTGGGCGAGGACATGGGCCCCATGATTTCCTATTGCCCGGGGGGCCCCATGAGTTATCAGCCCGCCTCTGGGCACAGGGAATCATGTGCAGTGTGGTCTGGAGGGGTGCACAAGATATTTGGGGTAAGTTCACCTTTTAATTTTTTGATGAATTTAGTCTTTAAGTCTAAATTTGGGCTGAAAGCACAGGATTTTTGGGGATTGAGTGGTGTCAGCCTAACCCAGTTGTCTTTTGCTAATCTACTTAATCCTTCCCACTCTCCAATCTCTACAACACTGAATATTCTGTAGTCCAACATAAGAAGTAGGAGGGCTAATTAGATTCTTTGAAATAACACAGAAAGTGTGCAGAGGACACAGGGCAGCTCTGAATTTCGGACAAAATCAACAGTGTTTTTTTTTTCATATGTGAGATGGGGAAACAGCTCTCATTGTTTGAACACTGTTTGTGTGCAGTAAATTATTGTGTGGAGTAAATGAAATGTTCTGGAGTGACATTCTGCGGTTTAGCCACAAGATGCCACTGTTTTCCTAAAACAGCCTCAGATTGCATAGATATTTCTATATTCATGAAGAGGTGGGGTTTTTCACACAGAGTTTAGAGAACAGGAAGGAGAGAGACAGCAGCCATGTGTTGGAAGATGGTGAATGCAGGAGCCGTGTGAGCAGAGAATCTGATGGCATCCAGGTGTGAGAACATCCCTCAGTAACCAGAGCTGCAGCTAAGTGAAGCTGATCGTGTCCAAGACCCTGATCCTGTTCAGAGAAAGGAAGATTGCTGCCAGGAATGTTGATGAGAGCAGAGGAACAAAGCAACATACACTGCGATACCTCATGCTTGTTGGAGAGACATTTGTTCTGTTCAGAGTCACAAGCGGATGCAAAGCAGACCCGGGTCGGTAAGATCGTGCACGCACCTCATTTCAGTGTTGGCACCTAGAGACTGAGTCCAGGCCTATAGTTAGTTAGTTAGGGTCTCTGTTTGTGTCAGGCCACAAGTGTTATTACTGATCATTGGAAGGAATACATAACTTAAAGTGACATTTCACATTGGAGAGCTGATAAAATCCTACAAACTCAAGCCAGACTGGCGTTTTGCTCAGAAGGAATACTCAGGCACGTGCTACAGGACCAGTTATGGGAGAAGGAATACTGTAGATTTGTGTAAGATTGTAAGCTGTTGTGGTGCACTGCAGGCTAGCCCATACCATACACCCATACACTGATTCCTGCTCTTTTAGGGTAATAACAGGTAAGGTGTGGCAGCTTATTTGTGCCCGCCAGTAGGTAAAATTACTACACCTTCTACCTTCATCCATCAGGAGGCACCGTGCTGTGCAGCACATGGGTCTCAGCCTTTGGGCTGGGTGTATGTAAATTTATTGCATGTTTCCAGCATTTGCGGTTGTGTTTATTTTCCACATCTAAGTAAAATTCTGTTGTGGCAAAAGCTGGTGTTGGGATTGCTTTCCTCGTTCGTGACTTCACTGTATCCTGGGGAGCCCACCCCGGTACACGGCTCACAACTATTTCGAACAGATATGACAAAACTCTTTCAACCGTTTATTTAAACACACCAAAATGGAGCAAAGAAGTGTAGTTCAATGATAGGTCTTAACAGAATATACACCGTGAACTTTGAGTGCCGATATCTGGATGATGCTTGCAGCTCTTTTTTAGCTGGCGATTACCTGCAATGTGAAAGTAATTCTAGTGGCTCATTAGCCGCTGGATTGCTTTTGCAGGTGGACGGGGACGTCCCCCCACCTACTGGTGCCCAACAGTGCTTCTCCGTGCTCTCTCCGTGTGATTGGGGAGTCAGAGAACTGATCTGCTGGTGGTGCCAGTTTACCATATAGTTGGCCATAGACCACATGGTACCCGGCCATCTCCATGACCCTGGGAATTCGGAAGCAACGTCATAACGTCATTTCCAGCTTTGGCAGATGTAAACACTGCCATTTTTTTTCTGCTAGGAAGCTTGAGATCAATTATTTTTTTTAATCTCATGCTTTCCAGCATAGAGGAGAGATGTGGGGTCTAATAGACCCCACATCTCTCCCAAAAGAGTACCTGTCATGCCTTATCTCTATAACAAGGGATGATTTAATTTCTTGTAATAGGAATAAAAGTGCTAAAAAAAATATTAATAAGGAAACAGTGTAAAATTAAAATAAAATAAGCAACAATAATAATCTCATTGACTCACTGGCAGTGATTGACAGTAGTGGGATCCAATGGCTCTCGCTGCTGCCTCAGCCAATGAGAAGAAGAGTCCTGGGATAGCCGAGATTCCAGTGCAGATCGCTGGATCGAGAGGGAGCTTAGGTGAGTATTAGAGGGGGGCTGGAAGTGATGCTGCGCATAGAAGGTTTTTTACCTTCATGCTTAGAATGCATGAAGGTAAACATCCTTAAGCCTTTAGAACCACTTTAAATTCACTAACAAATTGAAGCCAAACTCCAACTCATACTACAGTTACAAAATCATTTACAACTGTTTTTCCTTTTGGGATAAAGGTTTTACATGAATAAATAAAAGGTGATCACTGTAAGCATCCGTTAGTGGTAAATGGTTTGTCCCAACTCTCTAAATGCTACATCTGCAGGACAGCTTGTTTTCTTGAAAAACAACAGACTTACTGGCCAGATCAACAGATGAAGATAAAGGAAAGAAAGCCTAAGAAAGCAAACTATTGCAGCCACCACATCTAAGGGTTGGTGAGCTGTGATATAATTAATATTTGCTTGTAATAGCAGCAGACGCAGGAGTCGGGAGATGTGGCAGGTCTGCACAGCCAGTGTAATTACCGTTTGTGATGCACTGTAGAGTGCTAAAGTACACATGAAAAGGGGAACTGTCAGATGGTTACAAGTGTGCAGGGGTGGCTTTGATGGGCACACAAACACGTGGGGGGGGCTGATGGCTCTGATGGGGACATAAACGTGTGTGGGGGGGCTGATGTGGACTGATGGGGACATATACATGGTGGGGCTGATGGCTCTGATGGGGACATAAACGTGTGTGGGGGACTGATGGGGACATATACATGATGGGGATGATGGCTCTGATGAGGACACAAATATGCAGGAAGGGGTGATGGCTCTGTGGGAGACACAAATGTGCAGGGAGACTGGTGGGTGATGGGGACACACAAATATGGGGGGCTGTAATGGGGACACAAATGTGTGTGAAGACTCTAATGGGGACCCAGATGTATGGGGAGACTGATGGGGACACAGATGCATGGAGAGACTGATGGGGACACAGATGTATGGGGAGACTGATGGGGACACAAATGTATGGGGAGACAATGATGGGGACACAGGTGTATGGGGAGACAATGATGGGGACACATGTGTATGGGGAGACTCTGATGGCCACACAGATGTATGGGGAGACAATGATGGGGACACAGGTGTATGGGGAGACTCTGATGGCCACATAGATGTATGGGGAGACTCTGGTGGCCACATAGATGTATGGGGA